CCCACATTTGCCTTTCTGGCCTTACTTCCTCCCATTTTCTTCTAACACACATAAAGTATTCTCCATTTCAGCCACAATAAACCACTGCTTTCTCCTACCTTCGTTATTCTCCTGCCTTCGTGCCTCTGCCTAGGCTGTTCTTCTGCTTCGGAAGCTTCTGGTCATTTCCTGTTCACCCTTTATGATCTGCAATTCCAAAGCCCAGAAGTACATTGTGAATGTGGAATCAATGTTTGCTCTATGCCTAAGTCAGTAACAGCCCTTTACATTAAAAATTTCATTATGATACACGATAGTAATAGCACCTGGTTTTCCCAAAGGGGCAAAGCTAGAAATTAATGCAGTGACCCCTAACTAAAGGTTTGTCCTCTCTATTATTTCCCTACTTAAATTATCAGGTACACAGTGAAGCCCATTGTGTGCTAAAAGCAACACAGAGGAAGAGTAAGACATACACTTAGCTCTAAAAATATTTAATCTAATCAGAGGTACAAGATCCATATGCATGAAAAGAGATAAAATTTTATAAGAAAGCATACTGTAGAGTTAAACGCTAAATTGTGTAGCACCCCCAGTAGGAGAGAGAAGTGCATTTAGTGGGCATTAGCCTAATCCTGAAAGACTTTATAGAAACTGGGGCAACAGGGTCCTGCAGTCCCTTTTATATTATGGACGAGTAAAGGGCTGAGAGGTAGACATTCTATGGGAGTGCAACAAATTGAATGTAGACCATAATGGGTCTGGAGAACAAAGAGGCAGAACACCAAAAGTAGAAATCTGATTGTTTTCCAACTTTGACTGAACTTCTTAAGAGTTTAAGAAAGTATCAGAGAGACATGAAAAAGTACCGTCACTCTGGTAAAGAAAACAAAAACCTTAACACCAACAAAAACAATGAAAACTTCCAACTTACCACAGTAAGGCTAGGAGACAGAACTATTGGTAACACGTTCATTTGCTACATTTTTTAATCAGTTTGCCTTAAATAATGTTAACCTCCGATTAAAGTTATTTTTACTTTGAATTCTGATGTGGCCAAGAGATTTAAATAAGAAAAAGGCTGTATCTGTCTCTCCGTTTTTATTCCCTATCCACAATGCTTTAGTTAAACGTTTAGCGGAATTTGAGAACCACTAGATACTTTGTTAGCAAAGTAAACAATAATGTAACTATTCTAGCTAGTAATGAGCTTGGAGACTTAAAAAATATACACAGAATTTTATTGCTTTTCATTTGACCACTAATGGCAGACTGAACATACAAGTGAAAAGAAATAAAACACAATGGTAGAAAACTCCAAAAAGGTACAATCAATGTCTTTACACACCCACCCTAACTCATTAGCAACTTTCTGATCGCAAGTATTTTCTCCAATAGTAGAGTATCCCCATATCCAAAGCAATTTCTCTAAAGTCCTTCTCATTCATTCAACAAATATTTAGCATGTACATTGCACTAGGTGCTAGAGGGAAGAGAAACTGAATATCGTCCCTGCCTTAGACATTTTAGTGCCTTTACTCAATTCCAACCCGGAACCAGTCTGCTTCCATAGGTACCCTGTCCCCTAAAATCAAATGTTGCTTTTCACAGTTGTCTTTACCTGTCACCTAAAGTATTTAAATTCAAAATTTCCTCAAAGTCAACTTCATAGCTACTGATAAAATAATCATTCTGTATGATTACAAAATATTTCACCAATACATAACCCCATTTTTTCCAACCTTAAAACCAAATTCTTTAGTCCTGATTACTTTAGCATAGAGACCTGCACTGTTGTTTCTTCTTTTTTAGAGAATACTCATGCTTTAAAATAAGAATACTTTATTGTTTGAGCAGACTTAATCCTACCTTTTGTCAGTAAGTGCCAGGTGTTTTTTAAAAATTATCTTGTCACTTTTGATTATGATATACTGATGGGCATCACTCTATTTGTATCTGGAATGAAATGACCACTTCGTGATTTTGCTTATCATATGTAAACTAGAACTTGAGAACCACTGGATACAGAAGTATCTTTACTTCTTTAGGTAGTGATCTTTAGACACTTTAAAAATGAAGCCCCTGTCTCTGAATTTCAGGAACAGGTAGTTAAGGTTCCGTAAGTGTTTACTTTCCACCCTTAAATTATCATCTTAATACTTCAGCTTAAGAATTATGTGTTCTGTGTCTTAAGAATTATCACGCTGCTTGTCAATATCCACACATAAGCCTTCTTGTTTTGACAATCTGAAAAAGCCCCCACATAGTCTGAGAGGGGGAAAAGCCTAATTTGGCACAATAAAATGTCAGTTTCCATCAAAGATAAGCTTCTCACGTTCAATTAACCTCTGAATGATTTCCTTTCTAAGAGTAATAATTCTCCTTGGTGTCCTTGTCATCCAGGGAGTGGAAATCTTTCTAGTGGCAAGATGAAAAATCACTTGCTTGACCCCAGAAGGGGCTCTTCCATTTCCCTCAACTACTCTCTGGAGCAGCAGTTGGATTTAATAGAGGGATCATGATCTCCAGACCTGGGTATTAAATCAATCCTGCAGCCCCCCAACCCCTTGTACCCCCCAACCCCTTGTACCCCCCCCCCCCCACCCCGCTAAGCCCCCTGCACTTTTTTGCTTATCCTTTTTCTTCTCTCCTCCTCTCCATTTTTCTTTCCTCCTTCCGGCTTTCCTTAACCTGTGATACGCTCCTGGTTGGTTGAATTTTTACAACTTACCAGATAACAATCCCTTGTGATCTTAAAAGCTTCCTTAAAGCAAACCCTGAATCACTGCTTTTTAAAACCCGTGTGAAAGACCATTGTGTGGAATAATGTTACATTTGTTTCACAGCCCTACAAAGTTTGGCTACAAAACCTGTGGGCTGATTCCGTAACTCAGCCGGAAACGCGGAGGATTGAAACAACAACAAAAAAAGAAGCCAGGCGGAATGATCCGACCCGGGCCCCCGGCCTGAAATGGGACACGGGGATGACAAGGCAATGCCGGACGAAGCCATGCTCCTGACTCTCGGGATTCAGGAGACGCGCCCGGCCCACTGGGGGCGACAGCGACGGCGCCGGCGGCTCGCAGCGCTCCCCGCTTGCCGTCCCGGGGGCTCGAGGGACCGCCCCGGCCGGGAGAGACCCCCGATGTGAGCGCTGCCCGCAGGATACCGTCCTCCGGCTGAGGCGTGGCTCCCGGAGCAAGAGGCAACGAGGCCGCCCTCGGCGTATCGGGGTCTGGGCTGGGAACGTCCGCGGCAACTGCGGGCAGGGGGCCCCAGGCGGCCGCAACAGGTGCGCCAGGGCCGCCCACCCGGCTCGGGTCGTCCCCGCCCCTGCGCCGACCCCCGACCCCTTCCGCCGCCGGGGCCCCGCCGTTACCTGCAGCGGCGGCTCCCGAGTCCCGGGAGGGAGGCCCAGGGCCGGCGGCCTTCCCCGCGGGCAGGCCCACTCGCCCGACGGACGCCGCGGGTCGGCGACGGCGGGGCCCGCAGCCAGCTACCCCAGACGTTGGGGCCCAGGTCCCGCGGGGCCGCGGGGGCCGCTAGGGAGGGCGCGACCCCCTGACCAGGCCTCAGGGGAAGTGTCCTGAGCAGGTGACCCGGCCGCCACCCTCACTCCGTGCCCCCGGCGACGCGCGGGTCCTCACGCGCGCCCTCACTTCCTGCAGCTTTTGGTCCCTCCCGCTCGCCGTTCCTCTGGTCCCGCCCACTCCGCCTCTGGGTTGTCAGGGCAACCGTAGCGACGCCGGACCTGGAGGAGAGGAATTGGGAGCTCGGGGGCTCACCCGCAGGGGTCCAGGAGCAGCTGACCATGGAGCCCCAGAGTAAGGGAGGCCCGGGCTGGAGCTGGGGCCGGGGCGGTCGGCCTGGCTGGGGCTCCCTGGGAACGGGTGTGGGCGACACGCGCGCAGCTCCGCTGCCTTCGACTCTTGGGCAGGGAACTACGGTTTGCGTCTCGTCCTCGCGCTTTTGAGGTTGGGCCGCAGGCGCCCGAGGATCTGCACTGAGGAGCCGGGGAAACGGGAGAGCCCCGAGGTATGGGCTGGAGGGCGCAGCGCCCCCAGCGTACGCCTTCCTGAAACCTCTCCCAGACAGTTCCGTTTACTCGTCTTCCAACTGTCATAATTTTAGTTAGTTTGGTAGTTTGGTTTATTCATTGTAAATAGACCATTCTTTTTCTAAAATGTCAGCAGTTAAACACGCCAAGAGGCTGGGTCTTGTATTTATTAGAGACCCCGTCCTCCTCCCCGCCTCCCACCTCACACACTCAGTCTACGACTTAGAGAAAAAAAGTGCTTTGTCTAAGTGTATTTCATTCATTATTAGGGGTTCTACAAATTAGGACATTCAAAAAATGTTCATGTTTTTTTTTTTTTTTTTCTGTTTTCCCATGTTGCTTTTGATGTATGGCAAAAGTCGTGCGGTTTGGAGTTATCAGATCTAACTTGAGCTCTAACTTACAGTTTTTGTTGTTTTACCTTTCCAGGGAATTTGTGCCAAGGCCCTTCTTTCTCTGTCCTGCCTAAGCTGTCTTATTGTTGCTTTTGTTCTCAAAATAAGGGCAGTGTTTTGTGTGGAGACTTAAAAGATCTAAAACCTTTATGGAAGGATGCAATCTGACTCTCAAAACTAGGTCGTCTTTTCTTATACAATTTCAGAAATGAAGTACTCAGACCAAATCTATTCCTGCGGAAAATGTTGACATTTTTAAAGGTCATTCGTTTTCCAGCAAGAAGGTTTCAAATACTTTTTCCTTTTCTTTTAACTCATTTGCTGAGGAGAAAGCGTACAAGTTGTGACTTAATAGTTGCTTGATAGATTTTTGTACAGTATTTGTCATTTGCATTTAAAGCTCTTTAGAGTCTACATTTTTGTCAACCTAGTGAAATAAATTTAGCATACAAAAATGCTCACATTTTTGTCTTATGTCAAACTGATGCCAGGGTGTGTGTATTCCCGCCTTAGAGAAGAAGCGAGTTGAAATATATCTTTTTTTTTTTTTTTTTTTTTTTTTTTGAGACGGAGTTTCGCTCTTGTTACCCAGGCTGGAGTGCAATGGCGCCATCTCGGCTCACCGCAACCTCCGCCTCCTGGGTTCAGGTAATTCTCCTGCCTCGGCCTCCCGAATAGCTGGGATTACAGGCACGCGCCACCGTGCCCAGCTAATTTTTTTTTTTTTTTGCATTTTTAGTAGAGACGGGGTTTCACCATGGTGACCAGGATGGTCTCGATCTGTTGACCTCGTGATCCACCCACCTCGGCCTCCCAAAGTGCTGGGATTATAGGCTTGAGCCACCGCGCCCGGCCGAAATATATCTTTTAAAAACAGCAACTTTATTTCTTCAGATTTATGTTATTGTTTACATGTGTAAACTCTAACTTCAAGTCCTTCAGTGTTCACTGTTTATTCATTCGTTCATTTATAGTAGTTACCATGTTACAGCTCTGTTCTAGGGATTGAGAACTGAACAATGAATAGGACAGTGTTCGTTTTGGTCATCCCAGGAAAGCTAAGCAGAGACTTGCTCAAAAGCTACTCAGGTCTTGGTGGGGTTCGGAGATTGGGGGAAGAGGAGATGGACAGAAGTCTCCCAAGAGGAAGTAGTACTAGGTCTGCAGAATGACCCAGCCACGAATGGGGGCAAGGGATTCTAGGCAGTGTGAGTTACTTGTACATAGGCCCTGAGACCTGAGAGCAGCGTGGGTTTGAGGCTAACAGTAGGAAGATTAGTAAAGCTGTAGCTAAGGAGAGGAGGAGGAAAAAACTGGGTTGGGAAGAGGGAGGAGAAATGAGATAAGGCTGCAAAAGTCAACCGGAGCCAGATCAGGAAGGGTCTCTAACCATGTAAAAACGTATTACGTATGTGAAGTATATATTTATGTCTCATGTCATTGGATTTTGAAGTAGAAAATATTTATACCTGGGGAATGACTGTAAATGTATTTCTTTTCACATATTCTTAAATAATTTTATCAATTTAATTTTAAATCATTCAAATAATCATTTATCTTTTTGGTTTTTTGTTTATTTGTTTGTGTTGAGATGGGGTCTTGCTCTGTCACTCAAGCTGGACTATAGTGGTGCAATCCTAGCTCACTGCAACCCTGAACTCTTGGTCTCAAGCAGCACTCTCACCTGAGCCCCCTGAGTAGATGGGACTGTAGGTGTGGAACATCATACCCGGATAATTTTTTTTTAATTTACTTTGCATAGAGATAAGGTCTGGCTGTGTTGCCCAATTTGATCTCGAACCCCTGGCCTCAAGTAATCCTTCTGCCTTGTTCTGCCAAAGTGTTAAGATGGCAGATGTGAACCAGCACACCCAGCTTGGAAATTCTTTTACAGTCTAATAAACATCATTTGGATAAATATTTACTACCACTCATAGTAAATATTTAAAAGGACAAGATTAAATGATTGCTGAGGTTTCTTTTAACTTGGAGATTCATATCCAACCATATTTCACCTTAAACTGAAGTTATTTCCTTCTGGCAAAGATAATGGAAGCACCACAGATGCGACATAACAAGAATTACAGTTGTACATAATTACATTTATGCTGTCAACAATATTATGTTAACAATACATTGTTTATATCAATATTATCTAACATTCTAAGCCCTGTTCCTTTTGTTACTAAGGGGTCTAAAATAACATTTTACAAATATAGTTGAATATAGCATCAGTAAATTGATTATGAGGAAGAATCCTTCATAATTGCTTTTAGGGATTAAACATGTATCTAAGGACAACACCAAGGAACTACTAGAAAGAACCCTCGGGTCAGTCTTACCCGTTCTGTTTCCACACACTTAGTTTTCTGTTACTTTTAGGAATGACCTTTGTTAACTAAGTCATTAAAATCCAATAAACATAAACTCTTCAAACCCCACAGCTGGATCATACTCTGGCAGTAAGCAGAGGAAGGCAGGGGCTACCACTGTTTTACAGAATAATAATAAGTAAATGATCCAAGAAATGACTCCTCAGGGAAGGGACAAATTAAATAAGCTCACAACCTTGGGCTGTTCAGAGCGGCTTTGGCTCTTGGCTTGCACATTTACATCTTTAATTATTTTCTTGCTAAACAAAGTTCAGTGCTGGAAAGATAGCTCACGTATAAAATAACATAGAAAACGTACATCACGTTTCATTTGTTTGGGGTTTTGATGGTTTTTTTTTTTTCTTTTTTCTTTGTTTTTGGAAAATAGTTCAATGTTACTATCAATTCCTAATTTCTTAATGAGTGTCAATACCAAGGGGTGGCTCTGGGGACTCTTTAGCCCAAATCTAAGCAAACATATAATCTGAGTAAAAACTGTGTAAATTTATCAAATACAGCATCAACAGAAGCCCCCAGCTCCCACTTGATGCTGCCTGTTCTGTGAACTCTTGCTATATATATATACTTTAAAAATCTGGGGTTAGTTTAGGCCGAGCAGGCAACAGTTTCCTACTACAAATTTTGTTGTTGTTGTTGTTGTTGTTTTTAGAGAGACAGGATCTTGCTAGGTTGCTCAGGTATGCCTCAAACTCCTAGATTCAAAGGATCCTCCCTCATCAGCCTCCCAGTAGCCCGCACTGCCTACCAGCCTCACATATGTTTTTTAAAGAAATGGTAAATAGAGATCCAAGGTATTCCAGTGACTAAGGGACTGAGGTGAATGACTAAGGGACTGAGGGAGACCTTTCTCTCTGAACCTGTTCCTCCACTAGTCTTTCCAGGCTTCCCTTACTCCAGCCCGAAATGTGAGTCATCCCTGGCTCCTCATTTTTACTCACCAACCCTCACCCACCCTACCCCATCTACCAGCAGGTCTGTTTATTCACTTCCAAAATATACCCCAAATGTGCACCTTCCTCTCCCTCCCTTCTGTAATCGGTGGTACTCCAAGCCACCATGCTACATAAATTATTTTTGGGAACTCTAAAAATTTTTGCATGTCTTCTCCCACTGCTACCTGGAAGCCAGAGTGACCTTTCAAAATATACATCAGATCAGATCGTGTCACTCTCCTGCCAAAAGCCCTCTAAAGTTCTTACAGTGATCTAGCTGCCTCCTCAAACTCATCACACATCTGATCTTAGACATATGCTTTAAGCATATTAGTCTTCTTGTAGTCCCTCAAACAAGCTTCTTTCAGTTCTTCGTCTCTGAACAAGCTTTTTCCTCTGCCAGGATTGCTATTCCCTCCTGCTCTGGCAGGTCTGACTCCTAATGTCCTTCAATCTTTGCTTAAATTTCACCTCCTCAAGCCCTTCCCTGGCTTCCTAAAGTAGTGGTGCCCCCTTCTTTGATGTTATTCTGTCTCTGTGCTTTTCACAGCAATAATCAGAACTTGTAATTATTTTGTTAATATTTAAAATCTAGCTGGACATGGTGGCTCACACCTGTAATCCCAGCACTTTGGGAGGCCAAGACGGGTGGATCACCTGAGGTCAGGAGTTTGAGACCAGCCTGGCCAACATGGTGAAACCCCTGTTCCTACTAAAAATACAAAATTACCCAGGTATGGTGGAGCATGCCTTTAATCCTAGCTACTCACGTGGGTGAGACAGGAGAATTGCTGGAACCTGGGAGGTGGAGGTTGCAGTGAGCCCAGATAGTACCACTGCCTTCCAGCCTGGGAGACAAGAGCAAAACTCTGTCTCCAAAAAAAAAAGCTTTCTTCACTCAACTATAGGGTGACGGAAGAGGTCAGGGGCCCTGTTTGCCCTGTTTGCCATCCTGTCTCTAGTGCCTGACACGGAGTAAACTTTACACATTCATGAATGGATGGCACTGCTGTTCACAGATAGATGCCTTATCTGCTTTTTTTCCCTTAAGAGTATTGTGGTGTACTTAAAAAAAAGAGAGCCATTAATTCTACATTATTCTACAACACAAAGGGCTGTGCTCCAGTGAAATTTGAAGTGCCTCTTGTGGAGTGTGCTTTGAGTAAAGTTCATTTATATCAGGTGCTTATAAATGTCAGGTCGATTACAAATATGGTGCTCCATTTTCTTTTCTAACTTAAGTGAGATGTTTTAAGAGTCTCATTCTATCAGGTAAGATTAAGGAAAGAGGCAAGTAATCTTTTTTTTTGGATCAAGCAGCCTCAAGGTCCTAAGACCTAAACATTTTTGCACTGCCAGGCACTACATGCTCATTAATTATCTGGGAGACTGGTAAGGATATAAAAGTAATTTCTTCTTTAAGCCCAGGAATCATTTAAAAAATATGTGTAACTTTTTTTTTTTTCTCACGTAGTCTTAGCTACTGAAGAAAATTCTATCAATTAGGTTATAATTCAAGTCTCATCAAGAAATAAATGCTTATGTAAATCAAGATTAAAACTTTAAAAAAAAAACATTGTCAAAGCAGCATTTTTAAACAGTCATGTTTTAAAATCCCCATCAAAATGCTAAAATTCCTTGTGATTCTGACCTCTGATGCTGTCAGCCACGGGAGGAGGCAAAACGACTTGAGGCTTGAAGCTGTGTCTTTCCCGAAGCTCAGGTCCACAAGACACGCTCTCCAGGTGGAGGCTGCTCCTCAGAACTCAGGCTTTACTTCTTGACGGGAGAAGGAAGCAGTGTTAAAACTTGTCTATTCTGAACTAGCCAACCAGATTAAAGGAGGGGTTTGTGCATACCAACCTCATCCCAGAATGACCTGAGTGACTCATTACATACAGACGGTGGTGCAGACTCATTAACAAGTAAACAACTCACACCAGTGCTCTGTGCTCACAGGGCTGGGAGGTGGAGGTTGCAGTGAGCCCAGACAGTACCACTGCCTTCCAGCCTGGGAGACAAGAGCAAAACTCTGTCTCCAAAAAAAAAAAAGCTTTCTTCACTCAACTATAGGGTGACGGAAGAGGTCAGGGGCCCTGTCTGCCCTGTTTGCCATCCTGTCTTCTCTTAAGGGTATTTCTCTTAAGGGAGGCTGGAAGAAGGGAGGAGGCATTCCTTTCTCCCAGAGGCAGGTGCCAATTCCTTTTGCTGTGCCCCAGCCCCCTTCCAAGTTGTTAGAAACTCTTCCACGGCTTTTCTCTGGAAGGACCTCTTCTCCCCACAGTCCTGCCTCCTCCCCCTGCCTGTCCACCTATTTGTCCTTTAAGACCTCTCTTGGCCAGGCGCAGTGGCTTTCACCTGTAATCCCAGCCCTTTGGGAGGCTGAGACGGATGGATCACCTGAGGTCAGGAGTTGGAGGACAGCCTAGCCAGCAGGGTGAAACCCCGTCTCTACTAAAAATACAAACCTTAGCCAGGCGTAGTGGTGCATGCCTGTAATCCCAGCTACTGTGGAGTTAGAGGCAGACGAATCACTTGAACCCAGGAGGCAGAGGTTGCAGTGAGCCTGGATTGCACCACTGCACTCCTGCCCGGGCAACAGAGTTAATGAGACTCCGTCTCAAAACAAAACAGAAAACCTTTCTTAGACATCACTATCTCTTAGAAACTGTGTGTATATTTACCCTCCACCACCCCAAGTCAAGAGTTAATTTCTTCCTCCTCATACTGTGTCTGCAGGGTATTAATACTTTTGTCAGTCCAACCTGTAATCTATATTTTCAACTCTCCCTTGAGAAGTTTTCTTGAGACAGGGATAAGATCTTCTCTCTAGACTCTAGTGAATCCTTTTATTCATGCTGGTGTAAGTAAATGAAGAAATGGGATGATCAGTCACAGACTTTCAGTTTTTAAAATGACCTCACAGGTCTAGTCAGCCTGAGAGGAACGAACAGGTTACTTAGCTTATTCAGCTACTTGGGAAGCTGAGGTGGGAGAATTGATTGAGCCTGGCGGTTTGGATGCAGCCTGGGCAACAAGTGGAGACCCGATCTCTAATTTTTCAAGTTTTTATCTTTTAAATTTAAATTAACGTATTCAGGCTAGTTCTTTACTTTAGTTCTCTACTGAAGTAATTCACCCAAAATTAAGACTAGCATTGCTAGTTTAGTGTATTACTCCTCTCTAGGCTGTTTATTTATTTATTTTTGAGACAGAGTTTTGCTCTTGTCCCCCAGACTGGATTGCAGTGGTGCAATCTAGGCTCACTGCAACCTCCACCTCCCAGATTCAAGCGATTCCCTTGCCTCGACCTCACATTTAGCTGGGATTACAGGCTCATGCCACCACTTCCAGCTAATTTTTGTATTATTAGTAAAGATGGGGTTTTACCATGTTGGCCAGGCCGGACTGGAACTCCTGACCTCGGGTGATCCGCCTGCCTCGTCTTTTTCCGAAGTGCTGGGATTACAGGTATGAGACACCACGCCAGGCTGATTTTTATATTTTTAATTGAAATGGATGGATATTTTAGAAAGTATAAATTTGAAGCATATAGCTTGATGACAGATTTCCAAATTGAGCATTCTCAGTCATTACCACCCATATAAAAATAGAGAACATTCCTTGCACCCCAGAAACTTTTTATACCTTTCTCGTTATCCTCCTCATCAGGGTAACCGCTATTGGTATTTCTTTCACCATGGATCAATTTCATGTTTTTGAACTTTATTTAAAGGGAGTGATAGTGTGTACTTGCCCCCCACCCCCACTTTGGCTTATCTTGCTTAACATTTTACCTGTGAGCTTCAACCAGGCTGTTACATGTAGCAGTAAGTAGTTCGTTCTTTTTTATTGTTACATAGTATTCTTTTGTGTGAATGTCCAATGATTTACTTATCTGTTCTTTTGTTCATGGATTTGGATTGTTTTCAGTTTGGGGCTATTAGAAATAATACTTCTGTAAGTATTCTCGTACATGTCTTAATCATACTGCTGTAAGTATTCTCGTACATGTCTTGGTGCACACGTGTGCATTTCTGTTGAATTTATAGCTAGGAGTGGAACCGCTGAGTCATGTTGTGTCCCCAGTGTTAGAGTTGTACCAGCTGTGTATGACAGAGCTCCTATCAAGCAGAGTCCCATGAGAATTAAAAAAAGAAAGAGTTCCCGTTGCTCTACATCCTTGACTATGCTTGGCCCTTTGCTGTTTCTAAATTTTGCCAGTGTAATGGCCACGCAGAGGTATCTCATTGTGGTTTAAATTATATCCCTGCTGATTAATGATATTAAACACCTTTTCATGTGTTTTCATAGGCTACTTGATTGTCCTTCCATGACGTGCTTGTTTAAGTCTTTTGCCCCTCTTTCTACTTGGTAATCTACTCCACAAAGTCTAAAATATTTACTCTCTGGCCCTTTACAGGAGGCTTGCTGACCCCTGCTCTACAGTGCACCGCTGAGCAAGTTCTGGCATTTGAGTTCCTTGAGTTCAGGCCCCCTTTAGATCCAGGTTTCAGTCAACCAACCAAGCAACATATTAGAGTCACTCCCAACTGCTTGAGCAGAGGATTCCAGAATCTCTGTTTAGCACATCCCATTAACTCAGCCTGGTCCAACTTTTTTTTTTTTTTTTTGTCTTTTACCTGATCCTACACCCTTAGGAATAATTTCTATTAATATTATCCAGTTTCTTGTCACTATAAATCAGCAAAACCTTATACTTGTTGCGTATCGCACCTCCCCGCAGGTCATGCTTTTTACCTTACTATCTGCGTTTTGCTGGGACTTAAGTCTTGTTTCAGGTCAAAATTAATTAGAGGTGGTAGGGCAGGTTGTAAGGAGCATCAGCAGTTTCCTGCAAAGTAGCTCCCTCAGGGGAGGCCTTTACAGCCTCTTCAACTAAGGGAAGACTAACCTCAGAAATGGAGCGAAGAGCTGCTTCTACTGGGACGGAGACTCAGCAGAATTTAGGGGCTTCAGGTTTCCAGCTTCATTGGATTCTGTCCTCATCACTCCATCCTAATTTTCAGGGTCTTGCTCCTTTCCAGCCAATGCCCTGACTGTAACATAAGAGACCTTGAGATTAAGAATTTGATTTATCTTGTAATTAAGCCACCCGTATGATTAGACTTGGGTTTGTTTAGAATCTAAGATTTCTTGGAAGTTTTGGCCGTGCGACTACAGGAGATAATTTCTTTTTAAGGCAGCCACAGTGCGTTCTTGACCCTGAGCTTGGAATTTAAAGTCACAAATTCATCATCGTTTTCTTTCCTGAAGCTCTCTAGCGCTCTGGAAAGAAGTCAAGTAACCCTGTAATACATCTTGTTTTTACTGCAGAGTTCTAAGGCAGCAACTACTTGGTTATCCCAAGTCTTGCTCTCTATAGGCATCTGATGATGGGAATCTAGTTGATTATTTTTTTTTAAGTTTTTTTTTTGTCACTGCAGGCAGTGTGACCCCCTACAGCTGGGTATCATAACTGTCTTTACATCTTATTAGACTGGAGAAACAAGTCAGATAACTAACTGAGCATTGTGCCAATTCAGAACACTCTTCCTCAAGATTCCGTTCTCTGGATCTCACTCACTTCTGTACTAATATTCGTATCAGTTGGGGTTAATCTAAAAGGCAGAACCACTGTGATTGATATAAGGGGTTTGTGATGGGAGTTAGATCTGACACAGTTGTGGGAGCCGGAGGAGAAGCCAATGCAAAAACTGCTGTCTCTTCAGCCGGTGTTGGGCCTGATGTTGCTCTAAGTCAGCAGGGCCACACCTTGGGAAGAAAATATTGATAAGGAGTTGGGAAGGGTAAGGACAAAAATTGGAGCCCATGAAGAAAAACTGGAACTTGTGAGGATAAACTGGACCCCTGTCTATCTCTTACTGCCTCCAACTTCACTGATAACGTGAGCACTTTGAGCAGCAACTGAAGGAGGAGATCTGGACAATTTCAGAACTACCCCATGACAGCAGTGTGTACAGACTGTCACAGTGTCTGGCGCCCTTAGCCTTGAGAAGAAAATAATGGCTACTGCCCTTTTCCCTTCCCAGATCTCCCAGACATTTCTCCTGGGGCTAACCCTCCTCTAGAACCATACAGGGGAGGGAATTCTGAGGGAGTTCTTAGTGCAGGTAAGTTGACACAGTATAAAACCACCAAACCCTTTATCAGATTATTAGATTAAGGAAGTTCCTATCTACTCTAGATTGGCTAACATATTTTACTAAGGGTTTTTTTTTTTTTTTTCCTATCATGAAGGAGTATCGAATTTCATCATTGCTTTTCGGTATCTATTGAGATGATAATCTTTTAAAAATGTTAATGTTACTTACCTTGAGATATTTTCAAATGTCAAACTAACCTTACATTAAAAGAATAAACCGCACATGACTATGGTGTATATCCTTTCTATAGATTGCTGGATTTAATGTGTGATTTTTTTTTTTTTTTTTTTTTTTGAGAGAGAGGGTCTCTGTCATCCAGGCTGGAGTGCGGTGGTATGAACATGGCTCACTGCAGCCTTGACTTCCTAGGCTCAAGCAATCCTCTTGCCTCAGCCCGCTGTGTAGCTGGGATCACAGAACGTGTATGACCACACCTGGCTAGTTTTTTAATTTTTGAGACGGAGTTTCACTCTTGTTACCCAGGCTGGAGTGCAATGGCACGATCTCCGCTCACTGCAGCCTCTGCCTCCTGGGTTCAGGCAATTCTCCTGCCTCAGCCTCCTGAGTAGCTGGGATTACAGGTGCGCACCACCATGCCCAGCTAATTTTTTGTATTTTTAGTAGAGATGGGGTTTCACCATGTTGACCAGGATGGTCTTGATCTCTTGACCTCATGATCCACCCTCCTCGGCCTCCCAAAGTGCTGGAATTACAGGCGTGAGCCACCGCACCCGGCCCAATTTTTTTTTTTTTTTAATATTTTGAGCTGGAGTCTCACTTTGTTCCCCAGGCTATGCTTGCCCTACCCTAGCTTTTCCTCTGTATTATTAGACATGGCTTCAGTGTCCTTGAACTGCAAGGAATTAGCATTGATTGCAGCATTAGTAAAACCTGTCTTCTACTCATCATCAAAAGTCAGTCTTTTTTTTTTTTGAGACAGAGTTTCACACTGCCGCCCCAGCTGGAGTGCAATGGTGCCATCTCAGCTCACTGCAACCTTCGCCTCCCAAGTTTAAGGGATTCTTCTGCCTCAGCCTCCTGAGTAGCTGGGATTACAGCCACACATCACCATGCCCAGCTAATTTTTGTATTTTTAGTAGAGATGGGGTCTTACCATGTTGGTCAGTCTGGACTCAAACTCCTGAACTCTTGATCTGCCTGCTTCAAGCAATTCTCCCACCTTGGCCTCCCGAAGTGCTGGGAATTATAGGCATGAACCACTGCACCCAGCTTTATGTGCTTTCTTTTTTTTTAGATTGAGTCTAGCTCTCTCATCCAGGCTGGAGTGCAGTGGAGTGAACTCGGCTCACTGCATCCTCCACCTTAGCCTCCAGGGTAGCTGGGACTACAGAAACGTGCCACCATGCCCGGCTAATTTTTTTGTATTTTTAGTAGAGACAGGGTTTCACGGGGTTAGCCAGGATGGTCTTGATCTCCTGACCTCATGATCCGCCTGCCTCAGCCTCCCGAAGTGTTGGGATTACAGGCGTGAGCCACTGCACCTGGCCTTAATATACTATTTTAAAAAATGACTTTTGGGTTTGCGTTCATGTGACTGATTAGCCAGTAGTTTTACTTTTTGTAATTTTTTTTAGATTACTTTTGGAATCAAGTTTATTGTAATCTCAAAAAATGTGCATGGCTCTGTTCCCTTTATTTTTGTTCTCTTAAAGGTTTCTGTAGCCTGTAGTCCCAGCTACTCAGAAGGCTGAGGTGGAAGGATCACTGGAATGTGACTGAGAATAGCCACTGTACTCCAGCCTGGGCAACATCTGAGACTCTGTCACTATGTCATTTTATAATTCTATAATGTTGGTGTTACTTTTCCCTTTAATTGAATAATTCACCAATGAAGCCCACAGGGACTGGGAATTGTTTTTGTGGGGAAGTTTAAATTATGGATTCTATTTATTTAATAGACATAGGAGTTTACATACTATTTCTGTTTGGTTTTGATAAGTTGTGTTTTTCAAACAGTAGTTGTACAACCTTTTAATTTGTTTCTACCTGTAATAATTCTTTTAAATATCTTTTAAAAAATGACTTTTCGTGATGAGTAGGACATAGGTTTTACTGATGCTACAATCAGTATTAATTCCTTGCCGTTCAAGACACTGAGACTGTCTAATAATACAGAGGCAGAACTTGGATTTGGGAGATAACTATGCCTCTTGTACTCTCTGTGACAAGTCTAGCTTCAATGTGAAGTTTGTCTTAATCTCAAAACATGAGCTTGGCTCTGTTCCCTCTATTTTCTCTTAAAAGTTTCTGCAGCCTCTAATCCCAGCTACTCAGAAGGCTGAGGTGGGAGGATCTGTTGAGGCCAGGGGTTCAAGGCTGTTTAGTGAAATAAAGAATCAGGAATGAGCATTCCCCTAATACAATTACGAAATTAAAATCACCTAAAGCTTTGGGGCTGCTTAGAAAGCCCAGAAAGAAGTGCCAAATGAGAAAATAAATTCAGTGGAAAAACTCACCTGAAGGTATCATGGTCAGCTGGGTTTACACCCCTTTGATGCACTTCATTCACATCCTGTACATCCCACAAAGACTCGCTCTTTCTAAAGGTTTTGGTTCACGTGCACAATAGAATAGCAGCAATCAACATTAGCCTGAGGGCTGGCTAGTCTTTAATATTCCACTGATTCAAAGAAATGATGTTTTTCCCCTCATTTCTAAAGATCTCCCAGGTCCATTACAAAAAAAAGAAGGAGCAGCCAGGCATAGTGGCTCATGCCTGTAATCCCAGCACTTTGGGAGGCCAAGGTGGGCAGATCACCTGAGGTCAGGAGTTCGAGACCAGCCTGGCCAACATGGCAAAACCCTGTCTCTACTAAAAATACAAAAATTAGCAGGGCATGATGGTATGCGCCTGTAATCCCAGCTACTAGGGAGGCTGAAGCAGGAGAATTGCTTGAACCGGGAGGCAGAGGTTGCAGTGAGCCAAGATCATGCCACTGCACTCCAGCCTAGGAGACAGAGCGAGATTCTGTCTCAGAAAAAAAAAAAAAAATCTTCCATGAAGCGCTTTACTAGTGTTTGTTTCTATTTAGCATTAAACACTTCCCCAGGCCAATGCGTTAGCAGTTAGCTCCTTATTGAGTATTATCTGTAGCAAACAGCAGCCGACTCCTAGCTGTCTTCAGTGAACTTGAATTTAAACTTACATAATTCTCATGACTTCTATTTCATCTTGAAACCTAGAGATTTCTTCCCTTTGCTGCTGATTCACCTTCCATTATATGTAGACTGAAGCAGACATCGCACTGTTGTTGCTTGATTACATCTTCAATTATTTTAGTTATTTCTGAGATTCTCCCCCGCAATTTTTCCAACTATCTAGAGAAGAGTGTGGCAGGGTACCGAGAGTGTATGAATAACGTTATGAAGGCTGTGAGACTTCAAATAAGTGAGTAGCTTCTCTGAGCCTCAGTTTCCTCTTCTGTAAACCAGGATAATATTTACTGAACAAAGTTGTTCTAAGGATTAGTGAAATGTACGTAAAGCACTTAGCATTTATTTATTTATATTTTTTGAGATAGAATTTCACTCTTGTTGCCCAGGCTGGAGTGCAATGGCACGATCTCAGCTCACTGCAACCTCTGCCTCCCAGGTTTAACCAATTCTCCTGCCTCAGCCTCCTGAGTAGCTAGGATTACAGGCATGTGCCACCACGCCCAGCTAATTTCTTGTATTTTTTAGTAGACATGGAGTTTCTCCATGTTGGTCAGGCTGGTCTTGAACTCTCAACCTCAGGTGATCTGCCTGCCTTGGTCTGCCAAAGTGCTGGGATTACAGGCATGAGCCACTGCGCCCAGCCAGCATTTAGCATTTAATCGATGATCGAATGGTAAGTGATGCTTATAAAATGTTTTTATCATGGTAAAATATGTAAAGCATAAAACTTACCAGCATTTTAATCTAAATTGTCTTATTGTCATAGGCTTGTTTATAATAAAACAAACATCTTTTTAGTATCTGTAGCGATAACTGTTTATTCCTTGTATTCTAACTTGTGCCTAATTAGGTACAGCTCTAACTAGTTATCTATTGCTGCATAAGAAATTACCTGAAACTTAATGTCTTCAAACAATGAATATTTATTATCAGTGGTAGGCAGACTTCTAAGATGATTCCCATGATCTCTATGTCCTGGTGTTATACTCTGTATAATCTCTCCTTTTTAGTGTGGATGGGGTCGCTTTTCAACCTTTTGGCTGAAATCAAGTGAGTGTGAGTAAGATCTGTGACTCGTTTCTAACCAACAGAATAGTGCAAATATGATGGGTTGTTACTCGGGGATGTGTGTATGTATGTGTATGTGTGTGCACACATACATACATAAGGAGAGAGAGGGAAGAGGAGGAGGAGGAGAGAGATATACATTAGGATATGACATATACATATTGCTAGCATACACCCAAGATTCTCCTTGCTGATTTGAGAAGTGTGTGACCATGTTGAGGAAGCCCAACAGCAGGTGGCTCTAGGACCTGAGGGTGGCCTCCAGTCCATATCCAATAAAAAACATAGCCACACAATCATACAGACATAAGGAAATTAATTTTGTTAACAACCTGAATGAGCTTGAACTTAGCTCAGCTGACACCTTGCCTGCAACCTTGTGAGACCTTATGCAGTGAACCCAGTGAGTTGTGCCCAAATTCCTGACCCACAGAAAATACAAGAGAATAAATATATTTTTTTTCTCTTGTGTTTGTAGCAGCACAATTTGCAACTGAAGAAAATGTGGAACCAGTCCAAAATGCCCATCAGTCGATGAGTGGATAAAGAATATGTGGTATATATAGATCATGGAATATTACTCGGCCACAAAAAGGAACAAAATAATGGCATTTGCAGCAATCTGGATAGAATTATAGACTATTGTTCTACATGAAGTAACTCAGGAATGGAAAATCAAACATCATATGTTCTCACTCATAGGTGGGAGCGAAGCTATGAGGATGCAAAGGCCTAAGAATGATACAGTTGACTTTGGGGACCCAGGGGAAAGGGTGTGAGGGATAAAAGACTCCACACTGGGTACAGTGTACACTGCTTGGGTGATGGGTGCAGCAGTATCTCAGAAATCACCACTAAATAACTTACTCATATAACCAAACACCATCTGTTCCCCCAAAACCTATTGAAATGATAAAAAACGTAAGTTAAAAAAAAAACACTTAAGAATAAACACGTTTTCTTAAATGAAATCCTGACCCACAGAAACTGTATAAAAGAAAATACTACTATACTAGCTAATATATGTACATTTCCTGAGATGTTCATTTGTTATACAGCAATAGCAAAATGATATCTTATATAGCTTCTGCGGGTCCTGATTTGAGAAATACTTTAGCTGGGTAGTTCTGTCATGGTGAGTATGTTGATTAGGCCTGCGGTCATCTAAAGGCTTCACTGAGGCTAGGGCATCTACTTTCAAGATGGCTCACTCAGCATAGCTAGCAAGTCAGTGCTGTCTGTTAGCAGGCGATCTCTCTAATGTAATGCATTAACCTCTGTAGGGTTGCTTGAATGTCTTTACAATATGGTAGCTCCTTTCACCCAGGGTGAGCAAGGTGGAAGCTGCAATGTATTTTATAATCTAGCCTAGGAAATTATACTCTGTCGTTTGAACTATCTTCTTGATAACACAGGTCACTGTGTTCAATATGAGAGAGAACTCACAGGGCATGGAGAGCAGAGGTGAAGATCACCGGGGGCCATCTTGGAGGCTGGCTGCCACAGAGATCAGCAACGGGAATACTGTTTTCAAAGGAACATTTTTGGCCTTTTATATTTTCTCATGTATTTGTTTTTTATAATTATTTCTGCTTTTATTTGTATTACTTCCATCATTTTAATTTCATTGGACTTAATTTGCTGGGATTTTTGAGATGGATGCTTAGATTATTGGGGTTTTTTCTTTTTTTTGAGACAGTCTCACTCTGTCACTCAGGCTATAGTGCAGTGGTGATTTATAGCTCACTGCAGCCTTAAATTCCTGAGCTCAAGTGATTCAATCCTCCTCTCTCAGCCTCCCAAGCAGCTGGGACTACAGGTGTACGTCGCCGTGCCCTATTATTATTATTATGTTTTTATTTTTATTTTTTGCTGTGACAGCTCTATGCTTCCCGGGCTGGTATTGAACTTCTGGCCTCAAGCAAACTTCCTGCCTTGGCCTTCCAAAGTGTTGGGATTACACATGTGAGCCACCATACCTAGCATATCATTGTTTTTTAGTCCTTTTCTTTTTGTTTTCAAATGCATTCATTTACGATGATAGATTTTCCCCAAACCCAGATTTAGTCACGTCCCACAAGTTTTCCACTTTTGTAAAATTGTATTGAAGTATAATGTACATAAGAGAAAGTGTGCTGTCTTAAATGTACAGGTGGATGACTTATCACAATATAAATAAACCTCTGTAACTAGCTCCAAGATAAAAAAAACTGCTACTAATCATTTTAAACCTGGGTCTGATAATATTACTTTAAAGTTCATGTCTGATAATTCTAACACCTGAATCACTGTGGGTTTGTTTCTCTTTTCTGTTGTTTTGTTCATGGTTTTCAGTCAGTGGGTCATATATCCTGGAATTCCTGGTAACATATACATACATGTGTACATATACATAGATTTTATTTTTAAAAATTGTCTACCCATTGTGGTCTCCTACAGTGGGTACTTGTTCCCTGTCTATAACTTCTTTTAGACTTTGTTTTCTTTTTACTCTTTCTAGACTATATTATTTTACTTTTTGGATAAGTAATATAGTTACAAGTTTCAAAAATAAAAATTGTGAAAGAGTGTTAGTGAAGAGTCATTCTTGCAATGCCATCACCCTCTTCCTGTCCTACAGGTAACCATGATTAGTCTCTGGTATATCATTCCAGAGATAGTTTAAACATTATATATACAAGCAAATTATGTATGCTGCATTCCCCTCTCTGTTCTGTACTTTGCTTTCTTCATCTAACATTATATTTTGGTGAGTTTTCTGTTTAGTTCATAATACATTTTCTCATATTTTAAACAGCTGTATTCTGTTGTATGAATTTATCATAACTTACTGAATCAGTCCACTTCTGAGGATCATCCAGTTTGTTTCCAGTTGTTTGCTATGGTGAGAAGCTGAATAAAAGATGTCCGCATTCAAATTCCTGAATCTAGGAATACATTACTTTACATAGCCAAAGGGGCCTTGGGAGTAAGGATTGTGAGACGGGGAGAGGCGCGTGGATCAGCCAGGTGGGCGCAATGGAATCAATCACAAGAGTCCTTATAAGCGGGAAGCAGAAGCGTCGGAATCAGAGACGTGATAGGAAGGTGGAAGTGGTGGTTGCAGCGATACGAGATCGAGAGCCCAGGAGCGTGGAGCCATCAGCAGTTGGAAGAGGCATGGAAATGGACTCTACCCTAGATCCTCCAGAAGGAAACAGACTTTGATTTTTAGCTCCGCAAGATGCGTTTCGGACTTCAGACCTCCGGGCTCATAGTAAGGTAAGTTTGGGTTTTTTAAGCTCCTACATTTGTGGTAACCGGTTATAGCCGCAATAGAAAACTAGAACAGCTTTTTTTTTTTTTTTTTTTTTTTTTTTTTTTTGCAATTATAAGCAAAGCTGCAAGAAACATCGTGTATCTGACGTTTTGCATTTGGGCAAGTATATCTGTAGAATAAGTGTCTAATGTGGACTTGTCCAGTTAAAGGTAGTTTTGATAATTTTTTTTTTTTTTTTTTTTTTTTTTTTTTGCCAATCAGTTTGAGCTTATGAAGTTGCTCAGGTTAGCCTTGAACTGATGACCTCGCCTTCGCAAGCACCATGACCTCCGGCGGGAGCCACTTTGGACCCCCGTTTTGATAATTGTTAAATCGCTCTCCTCTAAAGGGGTTATTCTAGTTTATACTTCCAGTAGCAACATGAGTGCATACCTCTTTCCCACAGCCTCCCCAACACAGTGTGTTAGCAAACTTGTAGAATTTTTACTGTTCTGCTAGTAAAAAGTCCTAATTTCTTTGAACACCTAATAATACCTGAGTCTTCCTCATCTGCACAACATGGTTAGGAGCTCCTTCAGAGTTACGCCTGGGTCCTTATTTCTCTTGTGTTCCAGGCTGCTTACCTTGGTGTCCCTCCTGTTACCTTAACAGGGCAGGCTACCTGCACAGGAGGAGGAGATGATGCACTCAGCAGCACCTGTGCGTGATAGTTAGTGGGAAAGAAACGCCATATAGAATCCATTCTATCCATCTTATCAAGTTCCATTTAGGAAAACAAAATGTTTGAACGAAAATATCCTAATCACAATAATTGACTAGTGAAGGCTGGAGAAGTGGTTGCCTAGCAAAGCCCTGGTTGTTTTTGTTGTTGACTGGTTGACATAAGGCGGGATCAACAAACACACAGCATGTGTGTGGCCCTGGCAGCGGATTCAGATCCTGCCCGCTAAGGTCAACAGCACCCAGGCTCCTGGAGGCAGCCACTCCTCGTCGATTATTTGCGCATGAGAGAAACCTGTTTGTTGTACCACATTGAAGGACTAACAGCATCACAGACTGTGACTCAAGTGTTTTTCCGGTGAAGAATGAAACATAAATAGAAAAGAACATTTATCTACCACCCTCTTCCTCTTCCCTTAGCTTGGGAATCATAATTACCTCCATTTTTTTTTCCTTTTTATTTATTGGCACTGCCAAGGCGTTTTTTTTGTTTGTCTGTTTTGAGATGGAATTTCCCTCTTGTTTCCCACGCTGGAGTGCAATGGTGCGATCTCAGTTCACTGCAACTCCCACTTCCCGGGTTCAAGTGATTGTCCTGCCTCAGCCCCCCTGGGTAGCTGGGATTAGAGGCATGCACCACCATGCCCAGCTAATTTTGTATTTTTAATAGAGATGGAGTTTCCCATGTTGGTCAGGGTGGTCTGGAACTCCCAACCTCAGGTGATCTGCCTGCCTCAGCCTCCCAAAGTGCCAGGATTACAGGTGTGAGCCACCGCACCTGACTCTGTGTGTGTGTGTGTGTGTGTGTGTGTGTGTTAGATTTTAAAACTTTAGGGAGAGAAAGAGCTGTCACCTCTTAAAAACATTAGCAACTTCAATGTTCCTGCCACCACACTCGGTTAATTTTTGTGTTTTTAGTAGAGACCGTTTTGCCATGTTGGCTATCAGGTCTCAAGTCATCCGCCTATTTTGGCCTCCCAAAGTGTTGGGATTACAGGTGTGAGCCATAGCTTCCAGCTGATTGCTTAGCTTTGATGTGAACCAGTGTTAGCATATACACCCAGAATTCTTTAAACTTCAAAGAAACCACGAAACTTAATTATGTGTCATGGAGATACAAATTAAAACAATCTATTGACTGTGAGTCCACATATTTTTGTTTTCTTGAAAACAGAAAAGTATGCAAATGGATGAGGCCTTCTAAGGGAATCTTGTGGCTTCTCAGTCCTAGCTGTTCTGAATTGGTGATTGACAGGAACACCCAACAGGTGATGCTAAAGGTACTGGTAATTCTTCATCCTTACCTGATGGCACCCCATCCTTATCTGATTGCACCTGCATTTTGCCTGTTGCTCATTCTGCAAGACACCTAAACTCAGGCCTTTAGTTGTCTGCCAAAAGGAGGAAGGGAGGGCATGTTTATGAAACAGCTGTCACGAGGCCTGGCGCTTGGTGAGCTTCACCCCTTAATCAGTTGTCAGACGGTAACTTGATGACAGATAACTTCAGTGTGAGTCAGGCTAGTTTGCCACAGCTGTCTCTTGTAAAAGTTCTCCTGTGATAAGAGTTGTTGCTACCACTACTTCCAAATAGCATATGTTAACTTTGAGTTAATTTTAGATAAAGCCGGGTTAATTTACAAATTGTGGCACCAACAACACAGTTAGGCAAGGCATGGATGGGTATTGGAATCCGCCAATCCTGGGTTGCTGTGTGCCAGTTATGGGACTGGGGGCAGGTTGTGGCAGCCCTGAGCCTCCTGCTTCACCTGTGTCGGGAGGGTGAGACCTACCTTGCAGGGGTCTTGTGAAGAGTAAATGCAATAGTGTGTGAATAGTGCCTCATCGTGCCTGGCCTGTCAAGACCAGGCAGTTTACACAGAAACTCTTGATATCAACTATGAAGCAAGATTTGGAAGAGAACAAATATAAATACAGATGGATCGGTGAAACGAAGGACTGTCGAATAAAAACCACAAAGAGGATGTTTGTGAATGGAGGGGGATGGATCTCTTTCTCCACTGAGCAGTGAATATGAGAATCTGCTGAATCTACCTCTTATTCTCCACTTAAATTAGAACTCTTCTAAACTTCTTAAGTACGATTACAGTATGAAACCCTGTCTGCCTCCCAAACAACTTCCTATGGATATTAGATTTTTTAAATATAAGATACGTTAAGTGACAGCCTTCATTCCTTGATGTCACATTCTAAATTTGTGTCACTTTTTATTCTCCAAAGCTCTAGCTCAGCATCTTTGTATGCCTTTTATGAAAAAAAGTCTCAGTAGTCTCTTTTTATGTGTTGATTTTTACACCACAGCCTTAGGTAGCGTAAGCTTCGTGAGGACGGGAGCCAGCCCTGGCTGCTCAGTGTCAGCAGCACGTTCGCAGGGTAGTGTAAGCTTCGTGAGGACGGAAGCCAGCCCTGGCTGCTCGGTGTCAGCATGTTCGCGGGGTAGCGTAAGCTTTGTGAGGACTGGAGCCAGTCCTGGCTGCTCAGTGTCAGCAGCATGTTCGCGGGGTAGACACCCCCACGGCAGGCACTCAAGTATTGGTTGAGTAAGTAAATGGAAGACTGGAAAATGTAGGCTGGACTGGAAACTTGAGGATGGAAACACCCCACTGATTTGGGAAAAGGAAGATTGGTCCAAAGCAGTGTTTCTTAACCATATTTTCATTATCAAAGAGAAAACAAAACACTCCCTAACAGAAATTAAAAACTAAAGGAATAAAATTTTTGTTAGATTATGTTGAGCTTTGAAAGGCCAGAAAGGACCTTTTAATATCAAATCTTTTTTTTTTTTTTTTTTTTTTTTTTTTTTTTTTTGAGACAGAGTTTCACTCTTGTTACCCAGGCTGGAGTGCAATGGCACAATCTCCACTCACTGCAACCTCCACCTCCTGGGTTCAAGCGATTCTCCTGCCTCAGCCTCCCAAGTAGCTGGGACTACAGGCACCCGCCACCATGCTCAGCTAATTTTTGTATTTTTAGTGGAGACGGGGTTTCACCATGTTGACCAGGATGGTCTCGATCTCTTGACCTTGTGATCCACCTGCCTCAGCCTTCCAAAGTGCTGGCATTATAGGCGTGAGCCACCGCACCTGGCCTAATATCAAATCTTAACCCTCAACTCCAGAAAACTAGTTTTTGCACAGATACTGGCTCAGTGGAGAATGTGTGATCTGAAGCTGGAGCCTCCTGGTTTGTAAGCTTATTTTCACTTCCTGAAGGATTGAGTCACCGTAGAAGGGGAGGTGGGATGGTAGAAACCAGAAGTGAGGTCTGTGAACTCCAGAGTTGACTTAGGTGTGGAGGGGATGAGAGAGAACTGCTGGCAGGGAGCCCACATCTGATCCGGGAGTGAGCTGGGAAGGCAGAAAGCACTTGGCGAAGCCCAGGGAATGGTCAGGAGAGACTGGTAGATCCAGTACTCCTGTGCCTTGAGGCTGGTCAGTGATTAGCAGTGTATTAACCTAGGGTGGCTCTAATTTTAATGTGTCAGTGAAAGGGATCCTGCTCTAACTCCTGAGGCGGGGCCCAGTATTCTGCATTTCTGACAAAAACACCGCAGGGGACCTCCAAGCTGCTGTTTCCACAGGCCACACTTGAGAAGTATGGAGTTCCTCACCTGTGCATATATTGCTCTATTAACTTCAAAAACAGGAAAAACTATCACTCATACAGATATAAAAATAAGTGTTAAATATTTTATTAATGAAGCAAGCAGTGAGATGTTACAGCCAGTTCAAAAGGGAACCCGAAGGACAGATACCTCTATTACTCAGAATATTGAAATAAACTTGAAATTCATGCATAAGTCGCTTTGCGATGTGGAGGATTGGCCTTCCAAGGCAGATTGATTTGCATGTTTATAAACAATCATTTGCATTATCAGTTATTTTCAACTTCACATACCATAAAACAGGTGAAAGGCTAGACTAGAAAACCTTAAAAAGGCTAGGTGCAGTGGCTCACGCCTGTTATCCCAGCACTTTGGGAAGCTGAGCTAGACAGATCACTGTGAGCCCAAGAGTTCAAGACCAGCCTAAGCAACATAGTGAGACCCTGTCTCTACACACACACAAAAAAAATTATAAAAAGTAACTGGGTATGGTGGCATGAGCCTATAGTCCCAGCTACTTGAGAAGCTAAGCTGGGAGAATCCCTTGAGCCAGGGAAGTGAAGGTTGCCATGAGCCAAAATCATGCTCTTGCATTCCAGTCTGGGTGACAGAGGGAGATCCAGTCTCAACAAGAAAAAGTCTGAAAAGGTGTGATCTAAACAATGGGTAGTGTTTCTATTGAAGCAGTGTTCCCTGTGATGTCTAGTGATTGGCATTGTCAAATTGTAGATTGCTCTCTATATTAACTCGACAGTTTGCAATAACTTCTTGAGATTAGCGGTTTGTCTTTTTCTTCACAGTTTAATCATCTTATTTAGCTCCTCTGTGTAGTATGAAAAAGTAATGCGAGCTCTTTTTTTTTTTTTTTTTTTCCTCCCAGATGGAGTCTTGCTCTGTCACCTGGCTGGAGTGCAGTGGTGTAACCTCAGCTCACTGCAACCTCCACCACTTGGGTTCAAATGATTCTCCTGCCTCAGCCTCCCAAGTAGCTGGGTCTACAGGCATGCGCCACCATACCCAGCTAAGTTTTTTATTTTTAGTAGACAAGTTTCACCATGTTGGCTAGGATGGTCTTGATCTCTTGACCTCGTGATCCACGAGGCTTCCCAGAGTGCTGGGATTACAGGCATGAGCTACTGAGCCCAACCATGAGAGCTCTTAAATAGAATTTCCATCTATAAAAAGTAGCTGCTGTCAGTATTCATTCCCCTCATGTAGGTTTATGAAGAGGGCATTTTATTTTTTATTCTTATTGCATTTTAGGTTTTGGGGCACATGTGAAGAACATGCAACATAGTTGCATAGGTACACACGTGGCAGTGTGAGTTGGTGCCAAAGAAGGCATTTTACAAAGAGAACCCCTGTCATCGATCAGGCACAGCGATTCTCCTGCTTCAGCCTCCCGAGTAGCTGGGATTACAGGCACATGCCACCACCCCTGGCTAATTTTTTGTATTTTAGTAGAGATGAGGTTACATCATGTTGGCCAGGATGGTCTCAATCTCCTGGTGATCCACCCGCCTGGGCCTCCTAAAATGCTGGGATTATAGGTGTGAGCCACCTTGCCCAGCCAATAAATTCTTTTGATTGTCTATTTGGTATAGTTTAAAAAATCTGTAGTTAAAATATACCATTTGTATTATCCATAATAGCCAAATGGTGGAAGCAAGCCAAGTGTCTATTTGCAGATGGATAAATAAAATATGATGTCTATATACTATATATACAAAGTAGAATACTATTGGGCCTTAGAGGAAGGAAGTTCTGTCACATGCTGTACCATGAATAAACCTGGGAGATGTTATGCCAAGCGAAACAAGCCAGTCACCAAAGAACAGGTATTTGATGGGATTAGGTTCTTGATACACTACTCCAAGGCAGGCACTTGGCATAGTGAACGTTTGAAGCTGAAGGAATGTGAGAAATAGCAGGAAGGGCTCTCTGACCTTCCCACCCCCTTCTCTGATGCAGGTCACAAGGCCCTTGGGTGAGAGGGCCTGTTCCTGAAGGAAGGAGCATCCTTCCCTCTGAAGCTAATGCCGGGGGAATCTGAGGGAAAGGTTTTGCTCTTTCTCCCAGTTTACACTTAGTTCCCACCCATTCTTGTCCTCTCACATTTTCTGCTTCTCTCCACTATTCCTCAAACTGCTAAGCAAAAATTATGGGAGGTCATTCTTTTCGGCTGAGCTCCTGCACTACACCCCAACAGATCAGACCAAACCAAATCGGAGTTATTTATGCTAAATGCTGCGTCATCAAACTGAAACCTTAGGGAAGCAGACAGATCCCAAAACAGACCAGTTTTTCCTGAAAACATGAGATTCCAGTCTACTTGAATCAGAGTAAGAAGGAAGTCCCCTGTAACCATTACAAAAAAGTAAATGAAGTAACTTGATGTTAACCAATCAGGTTTTTCTATTCTGTTTCCTTGTTTTCGCCTTATAAACCCTGTGGCTCTGCTGGTGACCAGTGGGAGCTCTCATTCTATTGTGTAGAATGGAAGGTGCCCTGGTTCATGAATCATGAATAAAAACCAATTCTATAAATTTGTTGTAGTCTTGACAAATTTCATATAAAACCTAACTTGTAATTTAGCCTTTTGACAAACCTAATATAAAAATTAAATGAAATATTTAACTGTTTCTTCAGGTCTTCATTTGTTTTTAAAAAAAGGCTCCTAGTTATATCAAGTTACTTCCAGAAAAAAGTTTTTTCTGTGTCATGTCAAATTTAAGTAAATTTGTATGTTTTTCTCTTGTTAATCCGTCTTTTGGTACAAGAGCCCCAGCTGAGAAATTAGAAGGGTAGAAGAAAAATATTTTTCCTTCCTTACATAATGATTCCACTTACATGAGGTACCTAGATCAGTCAAATTCATAGAAACAAGGTAGAATGGTATCCAGGCTCAGTGTCTCATGCTTGTAATCCCAAAATCTTGGAAGGATAGGGAGGGAGGATCATTTCAGCCCAAGGGTTCAAGACCAGCCTAGAAAACATAGTGAGATCTCATCTCTACTTTAAAGAAAAAAAAAGTCAGGTGTGGTGGCACATACCTGCAGTCCCAGCTACTGGGGAGGCTGATGGGAGTTCAAGCTTTTAGTGAGCTGTGATCATGCCACCATACTTCAGACTGGACAACAGAGTGAGCCCTGTCTAAAAAATGTAGCTGGGTGGTTGCCAGGGGCTGGAGAGGAATGAGGAGTTATTACTTACTGAGTACAGAGTTTCAGTTAGGGATGATGAAAACATTCTGGAGATAGATGGTGGTGATGGTTTCACAACAGTGTGAATGCACTTAATGCCAATGAACTGTACACTTACAAATGGTTAAAGTTGGCTGGGCACGGTGGCTCACTTCTGTAATCCCAGCACTTTGGGAGGCGGAGGCAGGTGTACCACCTAAGGTGGGGAGTTTGAGACCAGCCTGGCCAGCCTGGTGAAATCCCATCTCTATTAAAAATATAAAAATTAGCCAGGCATGGTGGCAGGCACCTGTTATCCCAGCTACTCAGGAAGCTGAGGCAGGAGAATGGTTCAAACCCAGGAGGCGGAGGTTGCAGTGAGCCAAGATTGCACCATTGCCCTCCAGCCTGGGCAACAGAGCTAGACTCTTGTCCAAAAAGAAAAAAAATATATATATATATATACTTTACCATGATGCAGACATTTTATAAGCATCACTTACCGTTTGATGACCTGTTAAATGCTAAGTGCGTTACATATATTTCACTAATCTTTAGAACAACTTTGTTCAGTGAATGTTATTCCTGGTTATAGATGAGGAAACTGAGGTTCAGAAGGATTAGCTATTTGAAGTCTTACAGCCTTTATAATGTTATTCATATAATCTTGATACCCTAGGTAGTCGGTGAAATTGCGGGGGAGAATCTCAGAAATAACTAAGATAATTGAAGATGTAATCAAGAAACAAAAGGACAGTGTTTGAATGGAGACCAACTAAAGACACGTGGAAGGTACATCAGCAGGAAGGGGAAGGAGTCACTAGGTTTCAAGATGAAATAGAAGTCATGAGAATTACATAAATTTAAATTCAATTCACTGAAGAGAGCTAGGAGTCGGCTACTGTTTGCTGCAGATAATATTCAATAAAGAGCTAACTGCTAATGCATTGGCCTGAGGAAGTGTTTAACGTCAAATAGAAATAAACAGTAGTAAAACACTTCCTGGAGCTAAGAATGCTGCTGCTTTTTTTGTAACGGACCTGGGAGATCTTTAGAAATGAGGGAAATAATCATTTCTTTGAATTGGGTAGAATATTAGACTAGCCAGCCCTCAGGCTAATGCTGCTTGCTGCTATTCTGTTGTTGAATGTGAACCAAAAACCTTGAGAAAGGAGCAAGTCTTTGATCCAGAGGATGTGAAGTGCATGGAAGGGGTGGACCCACTGACCACGATACCTTCAAGTGTTTTTCCACTGAATTTATTTTCTCATTTTGCACTTCTGTCTGGGCTGCCTTTTTAAGCAGCCCAAAGCTCTAGGTGATTTTACTTTTGTAATTGTATTAATTCTCTTGGGAATGCTCATTCCTGATTCTTCGCTTCACCAAACAGTAGGTGTGTAACCTTATTTGTTTCTGCCTATAATAATTCTGGAGTCTTTAAACAAAAAAGACTGTGACTTTTCATGAGGAGTAGAAGATAGGTTTACTAATGCTACAATCAATATTAATTCCTTGCAGTTCAAGGACATAGAGACCCTGTGTAATATATGCAGAGGTAGAACCTGGACGCGGGAGATGACTCCGGCCTCGTACTCTCGGTGGCTCTGCTTTCTGTTGTTACTTTACTGGGTGAAGCTGCTTTTGTCTCCTTGCTGACAAATGTCAGACATGAAAGGTAATTTCAGGCTATAGCAAAGAAGCACGATGGAGGCAGAAGAAACCGGCAATCATTTGGCCTGTACTTGTTGCTTTTTGTTTTTTTCTGGACTTGGGATACAGACCAAGCCTTGACATTTCTGGCCTTTGAGTCCTTCTCAACTGTGATGATCATACATCAGCTCTTCTAGAAGTTAGATGTGACTTTGGACTAAGACTTTGGACTTAGCCTTTCATAATGTGGCTAAATGAATTTATATTGTTCATCACAATTCACTAGATTGGTTAAGCAGGACATTTACAGAGATTTTTGTTTCTTTGCTGAAAATGCTTTTCTTAATTGAGAAACTTCTAATGCTGTCTTCTGGAGTAGTTCTAGAAATGAGAGCAAATGACCGTTTTCGGCAGGAGGCCACACACACGTTCCTGCTTCTCTGTGATTTATGGGTAGCACTGACACAAATTGTTAAAAACAATCATCATAGACTTTGGGCTCAGGCCCTGTGGCTGCTGTTGACCCAGAGGGACCGCTGGGATCCTCGCATCTCGGGGCAGCACATCATTTACAGCAACGATTGGTTTTACACAACCATTTATGAAATTAGCTGAGGTTCTTGATTGGAATTTCTTTTTATAAAGGTTTAAGATGAGTTTATATCACTTTAAATATCAGGTTCTAATTTTTCTTTTTTTGAGATGGAGTCTCTGTCACCAGGCTGGAGTGCAGTGATGCAATCTCAGCTCACTGCAACCTCCACCTCCTGGGTTCAAGCGATTGTCGTGCCTCAGTCTCCCGAGTAGCTGAGATTACAGGCATGCGCAACCACATTCAGCTAATTCTTTTGTATTTTTGAGTAGAGACAGGGTTTTTACCATGTTGGCCATGATTGTCTCCATCTCCTGACCTCGTGATCCGCCCGCCTTGGCCTCCCAAAGTGCTGGGATTACAGGCATGAGCCACTGTGTCTGGCCCAGTTTCTAATTTTTTTTTTTTTGAGACGGAGTTTCACTGTTGTTACCCAGACTGGAGTGCAATGGCCCTATCTCGGCTCACTGCAACCTCCGCCTCCTGGGTTCAAGCAATTCTCCTACCTCAGCCTCCTGAGTAGCTGGGACTACAGGCTGCGCCACCATGCCCAGCTAATATTTTGTATTTTTAGTAGAGACAGGGTTTCACCATGTTGACCAGGATGGTCTTGATCTCTTGACCTACTGATCCTAGTGATCCACCTGCCTCGGCCTCCCAAAGTGCTGGGCTTATAGGCGTGAGCCACCGTGCCCGGCCAGTTTCTAATTTTTTTTTTTTTTTTTTTTTTTTTTTGAGACGGAGTTTTGCTCTTGTTACCCAGGCTGGAGTGCAATGGCGCGATCTCGGCTCACCGCAACCTCCGCCTCCTGGGTTCAGGCAATTCTCCTGCCTCAGCCTCCTGACAGTTTCTAATATTTTAAAAGCAAATGTGGGAGATACTTATATATGTCTATTAACTAGTGTTCTTTTGCGGAGCTTTAGAAATTCTGGCTCACTTGTATTTTTGCAGGCCTTCTAATGATTTCACTCGTCAGTCAGAAGATACTTCTGTCGACCTCCCTGCTGCTTCTCCTTTGATCTCACCTGTTTTTGGTCATTTGAGAGTTGACGTAGAAGCTTTCACAAGACTTGTCGGAATTTCCGTTGGGATTAAACTGATAGGTCATTTTCGAGAGACCTTTACAATATTGAACTTTCCAATCCGTGAACTTTACTTATCTGCCCATTTATTATGTTTGTTTTGGGTGCATTACAAAATTATATGATCACTCCAGCAATTACCTTGCCCTTTCTGGAAAAACCTTCCATTGTTAATTAACTTCTGGCATTCACTGATCTGTGTTCCTCTAGCATTGCTTCTTTCAGAATTTTGTGTAAATGGAATCGTTCAAGATGTAGACGTTTGAATCTGGCTGCTTTCCTGTACTTTATCAATAGTTATTCCTTTTTATTGCCAAATAGTAATCCATTGTATGAACACTGCATGGTTTGCTTTAGGTTTGTCATTGGGAGGACATGGACTATTTTCACTTTTTGGTAAATCATGAGTGGATTGGCATTCACAAAGTGTCTTTTGTCTGAGCATAGGTTTTCATTTCATTTATGCAAATACCTGGGGGTAGGATTGCTGAGTCATGTGGTCCTTATGTTTGACTACATAAGAACCTGCCAAATTTTCTTCCAAAGTGGCTGCCCAACTTCCGTTTCTTTAATAACTGTAAGGGTATTCGAGCTGTCTGTTTCTTCTTGAGTTTCGGTAGTTGGTCTTTCAATAAATTGCTCTATTTTATCTAATTTGTAGAATGTGGAAGCATACAGTTGTGTTTGCGTTTTGTTATGGAGTATCCACTGTTAGCCTCCTAGTATCTGCAGGGCTTGTAATATTCCTTTCATTTCTCGTATTGGTAATTTGTGTTTTCTCTTCTTCCTTTGTCAGTCTGCTAGAGTCTTACTCATTTTATTGATTTTCACCTCCCACCACCCCCTGCAAAGAACCAGCTTTGGATTTCATTGAATTTTTTTCCCCCTTACTGTTTTTGTTTAAATATTACTGATTTAGTTTTATATATTTAGTCTTTTCTGCTTGATTTGAGTTTATTTGGTTCTTTTATTACTTAAAGTAGATACTTACATTAATTTGATACTTCATTTCTCATATAATTTAGTACTATAAATTGCCCTGTAAGAACTTATTTTGATAAGTTGATGTTATATTTATTCAATTCAAACTGTTTTCCAATTTTTCTTAAGATACTCACTTTGACCCATGGGTCATTTAGACGTACACCATTTAACTTCTTATATTTGGGGATGTTCTAGAAATGTTCTAGATTCCTAGTTTAATTCTGTCATTATCAGAGAACATAATTCACTTACTTTTTCTTTTTCTTTTTTTTTTTTTTTTTTGAGACGGAGTTTCGCTGTTGTTACCAGACTGGAGTGCAATGGCACAATCCTGGCTCACCGCAACCTCCGCCTCCTGGGTTCAAGCAATTCTCCTGCCTCAGCCTCCTGAGTAGCTGGGATTACAGGCACACGCCACCATGCCCAGCTAAGTTTTGTATTTTTAGTAGAGACGGGGTTTCACCTCGTTGACCAGGATGGTCTCAATCTCTTGATCTCGTGATCCACCCGCCTCGGCCTCCCAAAGTGCTGGGATTACAGGCGTGAGCCACCGCGCCCGGCCCATTCACTTACTTTTAATTCTTTAGGGTTTGTTTTATGACCCAGAACATGATCTCTCACCACCGCCATACCGATAATTCTTCAGGTTTTGATGTTTCCCAACCTGCCTGCTGGTTACTTTTCCGAGTCCTCAGGTCATTGCTATTTGTATTTCCTCCAGAGTTTCAAATCGTGATGGGGAAATGACAGGCTGTAGCATGCATACACCATCTTGGTCAGCATCACAGGTTGTTGATACAACTTCTTGCTGCTGTTTTGAGACAGGGTCTCACTGTCGCCCAGGCTGGAGCGCAGTGGCATGATCAGGCATCACTGCAGCCTCAGCCTGCTAGGCTCAAGCAATCCTCCTGCTTCAGCCTCCCGAACAGCTGGGTCTATAGGTATGCTGCCATGCCTAGTGGATTTTTGTATTTTTTGGTAAAGACGGGGTTTTGCCTTGTTGCCCTGGCTAGTCTCAAAGTCCTGAACTCAGGGCGTCCTCCCCCTTGGGCCTCCCTAAGTGCTTGGATTATAAATGTGACCACCGTGCCTGGCCAGTACATCTTAAAAATAATTTCTCATCCACGTTGAATAATGATGACCTGGAAATATTTTTTCTTGCACTTGCCTTGTTGGGTTTTGATACCAAGGTTATTTTTATTTTGACCTTGTAAAATGAACTGGGGAGGCTTCTAATTTTATTCTCTCAGTTTGTGTTAGTGGCAGGATTTTTGTTTGTTTTCTTTTTCTTGTACGTTTAATGGAAGTTTTTGGTTGAAGGCTCTTGGGCCTGGAAATTTCTTTATGGGGAGTTTTTTCAGTACTGATTCAATATATCTAATAAGATGTTTTTCGACTTTTTGAGCGAATTTTGATGGTTTTTTTTTCTCCTAGAAATTTACATCTCACTGGACGTGGTGACACACGCCTGTAATCCCAGCAC